GGGAGAGAGGGAGAGAAGAGAGGAGAGATGGAGTGAAGAGCGAGATGGCTAGACCTCTGAGCGGAGTTCCGAGAGAGAGACGGAGAGGAAGAGGGAGGCGCGAGAGAAAGAGAGACGATGAGTGAGGAGAGAGAGAGAGAGACGAGAGAAAGGAACAGTAGCGAGAGATACTAGACTTTAGAAAGAGAGCCGAGAAAGAAAGAGAGAGAGAGCAGATGAGAGAAAGGACAGAGAGAGATGACGAGCGAGAGATATAAGATAGAAAGAGAGAGAAAGAGCAGAGCAGAAGAGGACGAGAGAGAACGAGAGAGAGAGAGAGAGAGAGAGAGAGAGAGAGAGAGAGAGAGAGAGAGAGAGAAATCGATGGCTTCATGGCGATGACGTTTACGATCTAGCGGAAACAAAGCCACATGACCTCATATATATCAAACATTTCAATCTTTATTGTATCAGCAACTCGCCACGCATTTACCAATCACTGCAAACAATAAGTACGGCCGTTCTTGTTAAGCACACTGTGAGCACGGAATAAATATAGTGTTAGAAACAATATAGTAACGCATACTAGATATATTTCTGACAGTATACAAACAAATAAAAAAACAAAGCAAAGTAGGTATTTTGACACGTTGAGACAAACAAAATGACAGCAACACATAACCGTTAGCTCACTAGCTTCACAGTTACGCAATTGTACTAGGAATCCTTTTATACATATTGTCGTAGTTAAAGTATATAGTCACTGCCACCTTGCCGCTTTCACGTGGTACTAAATGTGTGTGACGGAGGGGGAATGAGAGAGGCGGAGTGGGAAGGGGGAGGGAAAGGAAGGAGGGATAAAGGGAGAGAGGAATGGAGGAGAAAGGTAATTAAGAGCAAATTGTTGATGCAGTGGAACAGCACAATCTTTGCAACAACTGCAACAATTTTCACAATTTTTTAAGCATCAGTTATCATAATCAAAACACATAATTTCCTAATTACATGGTGCAAACAAACCAATCCACCAGCTTAGCTAAGCTGTTACCACGCACACCATACACATGTTAACACCAGCTTATATTACTAGCTAGCTATACATTACGTGCACAAAACAAAATCAGCAAAAACCAAGATCCACTAGTTGTGAAAAAATGAACACACCTCCACCAGCGCCCCCTGCTGTGTCACATATCTACACACACACACACACAACACCGGTAGATCCTGTTGTGCAGTATATCTACACACACACACTAGCAGTGCTAGCTATGTGGACCCATCTACTCTCATTGGCACAAGTGGCAAACGTTAAAAATGGCCTACATTATATAGCACACTACATTTCTCTCTGTTGCCTCCCAGTTACAAACTATGAAATCCACCAGGGATTGTAGGGTCTTAATTACAGCTCCTACATCCACCAGGGCGCAGAGATGCCAACACATATTTGAAGCAATCTGTAGTTTCTGGCCATCAAATTAGTAGTTCGAGGGTCACGTAGTGACCCGAGTTTGCTAGGGGGGTCCAGCATGCCCCCCGGGAAATTTTTTGATTCTGAGATGCAATTTCCTGCATTCTGGGGGTAAAAAATAACAATAAATTGAAAAAAAATGACAATAATTGACAACAACATTTTTTTTCGATCACAGTGAAATTCGTAGTTTGATACAAACTGGTCGTAGTGGTGCAAAAGGAATAGAAATTCGCATAAAATACGGATAAATCATAGTGGTTGGCATCTCTGAGGGCGCAGGCATGTAGAGACTTACAGCTCCTACATCCACCAGGAGGCAGGCATGTAGTCATCCAACAAACTCGTTATTTACTATACTATGTTTCGTGAACATTGGCGACACATGCATCGCTGTGTTGAAACAGTCTGCTGTGAAGTTACGCAATACGTTAACACAGTCTGCTGTAAAGTTACACACGTTAACACAGTCTGCTGTGAAGTTACACACGTTAACACAGTCTGCTGTGAAGTTACACATGTTAATCGCATGTAATCGCATGACTGGTAAAGCTTCGAACAGATATGCCAAGTGGCCTTGTTTACGAGACAGTTAGGTTGAGAATGCAGACAGCATGCAACAGTTGTGAATATGTTTTTGTTCTATATCTATATGGTTACGTCGATCTGTCACTACATACCTTGACAATTACTCAACGGTATAGTTGGTGTACTCTGTCGCCATATAAAGTTACCGTAGCCATAAAACATGGTAAGTCATAGTTTACATACTCAGATTACAATACTTATAACATCTTCATTTATGTTAAAGAAATGTTAAATACAAATTTGTAACTTAACTTTACATTATGTACCTTAGCTGAACTTGAATTATGTTAGGTAGTATGCAGTTAAAAGCCTATACACCGAATGATGAGAGAATGTTTTGTTTGTTGCTTAAAGTTTATTTCTTTGTTTCATTTTGTGATGTACTGAATATAAAATCGTTTGTAAATCACAGTAATCTATGGAACGAAGTACTAGACGGTTGACGAATAAAACGACTTCGATGAATTACTGAGGCTCGGCGGTAACGGGAGCCTAAAGCCCGGCGCACACGTGAGTAATTTTACTCAAGTAAAATGACGCATGAGTCATTTTACTCACGTGTGCGGCGGATTTTCGTTGAGTAATTTGACGCATGCGTCATTTTACTCAATATCAAACGTGTTTGATAATTTTTGACTCATGCGTCATTTTACTCAACGTGTGCGCGCGCTGAGTAAATTTACTCAACACTGCATGGTACTCACACAGTGCATGCGTTTAAATTATTGTGCGCCCAGTATTGGCTGCGCACAGTCACGTGATCTGCATTACCACTTATTCCTTGAGTAATTTTACTCACGTGTGCGGCGAACGCTGAAAATATTACGCGTGAGTGTTTTGACTCATGCGCCATTTTACTTGAGTAAAATTACTCACGTGTGCGCCGGGCTTAAGCGCTACAATTTATTTGACGCATTTAATCAATAGTTAACGTTGCCAAGCTCTATAAAGGCCAAAACTAAAGCTAAACGCCCGGACGAAGAGTATTATTACCGCGGAAGGCGAATTCTATATATATACCTCTCAATCTTCTCACTGCTGAGTTTAGATTACACAAGCTCACTTCCATCATCGCAGCCATCCGGCCAAAAAAAGTTTAGATGGTCGGTTTCGTTAGCGTCTGTGTGCTGGCGGGAGCAAGGAGAAACACACACATCACGCACACGCGCTCGCACTCGCACACACATGCACGCCCGCCCGCACGCACGCAGCGCACGCATGAACAAACACACGCGCGCGCGCACGCTCGCGTGCATACACACACACACACACACACACACGCACGAACGTACGCACGCGCGGACGCACACGTACGTACGCACACACAGGCACGCGCGCACGCGCACACACGCGCACGCACGCACACACGCACGCGTACACGCACGCACGCAGACGCGAGCGTAAAGCCTTTGAGCGGGGCCATTAGCTGACGGGTGAACCGTATTTTATTACAATCTACTGTTACTATATATAGCGACCGATGGATACGCGTGCAACCTCAGCTCCCTTAATACTCGCCGTGCGTGCGAGCATGTCATGAATAAAATCACAGCATCACGCACGTAACGTATAACGTGTAGCATGATATAATCACAGCACAACGCACGTAACGTATAAATTATAACATAATAATTATAATCGCAGCATCACGCACGTAACCTATATAAATTATAGTATAATAATTATAATCGCAGCATCACGCACGTAACCTATAAATTATAGCATAATAATTATAATCGCAGCATCACGCACGTAACGTATAAATTATAGCATAATAATTATAATCGCAGCATCACGCGCGTAACGTATAAATTATAGCATAATAATTATAATCGCAGCATCACGCTTCTCTCTCTCTCTCTCTCTCTCTCTCTCTCTCTCTCTCTCTCTCTCTCTCTCGTTCTCGCTCACCCATTCTCTCCCTCGCTCACCTACTGGCACATTGATACTGAGAATGGCGACAATTGCACAGCAGCAGAGCACGGCCCGTGGCAACGTCGCACGACTCCATTCAGTCCGATCCATCGTTTTACGCAGAGATATCAGGTTGTTGACAGTGCGTACCGCAAGGCTTTCATTCATGAGACACCATCTTCGTTACTACGGCAGAAGTTAGCGTCGGGTACAGTGTGGGTGTAACGTCTGCGTAATGTATAAAGAAAACGTCAGTCGTCGTTAGGTTGTCGTCGTTTCTTCCGGGCTGTTTTCCTATTATAGAATGCTTTTATTACTGCTGTATTAACGTTACGGAGAAAAACGTACAAATGCAGGCGTGTTGTAAATTAACATTTAGCGTAAACTGAACTATGTGGAAAAATTTAAATTTTATTACATAGACCTATATATATTCTTGAAAAGAAGGTCTTTGTTAATTTTCATGTCATATCTACATTTTTCAAATACGGGTAACATTCTGTGCGCGCGTGTGTATACGTGCGCGCGTGCGTGCGCGCGTGTATGTATTTATGAGTAGATATTAGTAGATATATATATATATATATATATATATATATATATATACAATGAAACCCCGATTTTACGAGCCCCGATTTAACGCGAAGTCGGATATAACGCGATGAGTCATTGGACCTTTTTTGCTCTTTCCGTAACTGAAAGGTTTTTTGGTGAGTTAAGCCGGCCTTAAGCCCGGCGCACACGTGAGTTATTTTACTCAAGTAAAATGACGCATGGGTCATTTTACTCACGTGTGCGGCGGATTTTCGTTGAGTAATTTGACGCATGCGTCATTTTACTCACGTGTGCGGCGGATTTTCGTTGAGTAATTTGACGCATGCGTCATTTTACTCACGTGTGCGGGGGATTTTCGTTGAGTAATTTGACTCCTGCGTCATTTTACTTGAGTAAAATAACTCACGTGTGCCCCGGGCTTTAAGGTCGGATTACGATTAAATGCGACGCGACGCGACGCATTGCAACTCACTGCGACTGAGTGCTTAGGTCGACAGCGACGCGGCTGACAGCGACGATTTGTTGTTTTGTTTATTAAAAGGCTTTACTAAATATTTATTTGTGTTGTAATCTCTACTGTAACAACAACAATTTATTCGCGGAATTCTTTCATTCAAAGGTGATTTACTTGCCAGAAGGTAACCGTGCAAAAACGGGTCAAATAAGGCGAAAATAGGGGTGTTTTAGGATGTTAGCTCAACATTGGGTTTGAACCCCGATTTAGCGCGACCCCGCTTTTTTTTTCGCGATGATATTTTATGGACCACAACGATCGCGTTATAACGGGGCCACACTGTATATATATATATATATATATATATATATATATATATATTGCTGAATTCTATGTAAGGCTATAATTCGTTAGCTAAATATGCTATAGAGGCGACTCACGCTTATGGGTGTCGCGCATGTAATCCATGACTGGTAAAGCTGTCGACAGTCTGCAAGTGGCCTTGTTTCGAGGACAGTTAGGTTGAGAATCAGACAGATTGCAACAGTTGTGAAATATTTTTTGTCTATATCTATATGGTTGACCCATCTGTCACTACCTACCATCCTTGACAATTTACTCAACCGTTATGTTGTTACTCTGTCGCCATCTATAAATACCGTAGCATTAAAACATGAAGTCATAGTATTACATACTCAGTTACAATACTGTATAACATCTTCATTTATGTTAAAGAAATGTTATATACAAATTTGTTACTTAATACATATGTACCTTAGCTGAACCTGATTATGTTAGTAGTATGCCAGTTAAAACCTATACACGCGA